TATTTATAAAAAGGCAAATAAATGGACCATGGGTAGCAGCAAGTATAGCAAGAAAAGGAAGTAGAACTGTAAGACAAACACCCTTATTGATCATATTGTTCAGTTTCCTCTCAAAAGTGTTTCATATGTTTCCTCCAGTTTTTATTACCTAGATTAATTTAGAGTAAGTGGGAATTTAGAGTCAAAGAGACCTGGGTTTCAATCCTTGTTCTTTGACTTCTTAGCTGTCTGAATTTTTAAGTTATCATCTTTCTCTGAAATCTTGTTCTCATCTATGAAATGAAGGTAATATGATGTTCCTCAGATGTTAGGAGTCTTTTCACAAGATAACTAACTTAGGGCATCTAACAATGACTGCTGTGTTCCTTCCCTAATCAATCACATCCATTTTTATCGTCTTGAGGATCCAGTGCATCACTGAAGCCCACATGCGTTGCTCAGTCGGGCACCTATGTGTTCCGTGTGGGGTGCTGGCCATATTCTTAAACATCTATCCATCCCCTGTATCACCTAACAGCTAGTCTCGCCCATCATGAATGTACTGTTGAATCTCCCAGGCTTACCTTCAGTCCCAGCTCCTTCATGAAGCCTTTCTGGTCTCTGTTACCCATAGTTATCTACTCTGCTACAGAGCTTTCAAGTCACTTTGGGGTTATATCGCTTCACATATCAGGCTTGACAAGTTCAGTTTCCTTTGCATGTACAAATGTTTTGTGTTTCTTTACTAGACATGTGGGGTGTTATGTATAACATAACCTTGAGTTTTAGATGGTTGCAGACAAGGTCTTACTGAGTCTGGCACTGGCCGCATCCTTAAGATTAAGGGCATGGGGTTAGTAAGAAATTATTTGGAAACCAAAAGAAGAAAATATTTCAGGAGAAGCCACTGAAATACTGTACTTGGATCTGCCTGAAAAGTTCTAGGCTGGAGGTGCAAAGATATTAGCTCCTCCAGAAATATCCTATAAATTGGGGTGGTGGGGGATGACGAGTTCTGCAGTTTAAAATGCCCAGGCCTCAAGGACCAGTGACAATCACAAGGCTCAGGACTCTACAGCACTAGGAGGGAGCCTAATGGACAGAGGAGTAGATTCATGTAGAAATCCTGTTGGAAGAAACTCTGTTTTGAAGATGTGCTAGCAGGTGCTTAAACCTGAAGGTTTGAAACTAAATGTAGAACTGCTTTCTGACCTGTTGACCAGGGGTCAGCAAACTACTGCCCACAAGCAAAGAATGGTTTTAACATTTTTAAATGGTAGAAAAAAAATCAAACGAAGAGTGATATTTTGTGACACATGAAAATTACATGAAGTCTAAATTTCAGTGTCCATAAATATAGGTTTATTGGAACATGGCCATGCTCATGCATTTACATATATATAGCTGCTCTCAAGCTACAATGGTGGGGTTGAGTAGCCATAACAGGGACCACATGGTCCATAAAGCCTAAAATATTTATGATCTGGCCCTTTACAGAAAAAGTTTGCTGGCCCTGATTTATTTATTTATTTATTTATTTATTTATTTATTTATTTATTTATTTATTTATTTATTTATTTTTGTGAGGAAGATCAGCCCTGAGCTAACATCCATGCTAATCCTCCTCTTTTTGTTGAGGAAGACCAGCTCTGAGCTAACATCTATTGCCAATCCTCCTCCTTTTTTTTTTCCCCACAAAGACCCAGTAGATAGTTGTATGTCATAGTTGCACATCCTTCTAGTTGCTGTTGCTGGCCCTGATTTAAATGTAATACCAGTGAACACAGACAAATCTTGCCCTTTTCCCCTACTCTCTGTGCTGCCCTCTATGACATCTTAATGTTCCCTCACCAGTGCATCCTCCTGGTGGCCTCCAGTATGCTTTCCCGTTGAGTCTAGAGGCTGTATCACCACACTTCTGCTTCAGGCAGTAATCACCAATCAGTCTAATTGACTAGAATAGAAAATCAAATCTATCCAAGCCTGGGGGTAGAGCCAATATCAAATGTAAAGGGAACATGATGGGTCAGTTAGCTGTGATAGGATTGGTGTTTGTGGTTCTTAGCCAGTGTCCACGTGTCCTCCGAGGCTGGTCATTCCAGAAGGAGAGGTCCCAACAGGAATGACTTTGGAGGCTATGTATCTACCACTCTAACTGTCCCATGAAGTTTGGCAAAGGCTTTCTAGAGAGTTATGTTTTTTGAACAAAGGCTTGGAAATTGACTACATAATCTCACTCACTTCCTTCTTTTTTCCTCAGCCATTTGCACCGGACTTGGCCTCATAGGTAAGATTTTTGGGGATCCTGAGAGGGAGGCCTCCAAGCTATGGAGAGCGGAAATTTTGAAGCTTCCTGGGCCATGGAGAGAAGCTCTGGTTGAAAACAGCCCCAGTAGATTTCCTTCCTGGTTTCCCAACCCCCCTACTCAGTCTTATGTGGGTGGATTTTCACCTCCAGAACCTAGAAGGAATTTGGGTGGTTTATCCTGCAAGTGGATCCCTCTCCACTTGGCCTCTGTGGCCCAAGACTCTTGGCCACCTCCAAGTATCAGATTGCTTTGTTTCAGGCTCAGAAGGTACCTTACCCCCTGGGGGCATATTTGGGAAATAAACTTCCTTTTGCCCTGCAGGGTTCTACCACTTCCAGGTCCCTCTGTCAGCCATAATGGCACCTTTGAACTAGAAATGTATCTGCTTCTGGGCAGCACAAGGCTTCATCAGCAGAATTCAGGCTGGATTTCAGCCACCACTGGCCATCTCTGCAAGGAGTCTTTGAGTAATGCACAAACTGCTCAACCAAGGAGAAAATGAGGCTGCACGGACAGAATGAATCTGTGGGAGAGGAAGACTATAATGGCCCAAACTCAAGGGAGTTGGTTATGGATTATCAGTTTCTTTTACATTATCCCTTCAGTTGACTCTGTCTCTTGATGGTAGAGGCTTTATCAGAGAGGGGAAGCTATAAACTCTGCTATGGATGTGGAGGATCCTACACCTTGCTGGGTGCAATTTGATTCCTTAAGGAGTGCTGCTTCTTGGTTCTCGGTCCAACACTCAGATTACTTGGTCTTTTTTCTCTGGCCTCCAGGGCTGTCCTTCACTGCTGGTTCAGGGGGACAACTGCTCTCTTTACAGCCTTCTCACATCCCAGGATGTTGCTGCTCCACCCCTGGGTCACTCTCTCAAGCCCTCAACTAATAAAGTAGGCTAAAGGCACTGCCTAGGACACAGCTGCCCTGATGAGCCTCTCTACTCTTCTCTCTAGCTTTCAAATCTTTTCTCAGCTCTTCTCTCTCCTCAAGCTGGATTTCTTTTATACTTATTATGTGTTTCTTTTTTACATATTTCTTCTTTCCTAGGAGGTGTTCTAGTCCTCCACTCCACAGAAGATGAAAACTCATTTAAAGCCAGAGTTTTATAGTTCAAAATAAAATAAAATAACCTGGGAATGCTCCTGATAGCTAATATTTCCTGGAGTACACAATAATCCCTATCCAAACTCTAACCTTAGTTACAATGACCCAACAGTTATTTCTAGGTGACTCCTCTTGAATTATATTTGTACTCTGGTATATACATCTTTAACTTAGATGTGCAAAAATGGAAACTTCTTTTAGTTTTTTATAGGTATATTTTAATTTCTATCTCTAGCCTCCATTCCTCATATTGCTTCCCCCCAAAAAAATTATGGAAGAAAAACAGAGAAACAAAACAAATGATCAAACTAAACATAAACTTCTCAGTGCAGTTTAAAATCAGCCAGGTCAGAGTTTTCTCCCTCAAGCTCTTCTTCTAGGGTTGATTCCAAATTCTAGGGAGTTTGTGCAGAGTTGAGACAAGGTAGGCAGTGGGAAATCTGGTCCTCAGAAGTCATAATTCATCCATGCAGGCATCTGGGTCAACTCATGTGGTCCATGTTGTCATACGTTATACTCTTTATATCCCAATAGACCACAGTCCACCAGACCAAATGTGGCCCCTCGAGGTGCACCAGACTTCTCTCAGTCAACTGACCCAATTCATGGAAGCCTGGCAAATTTAGCTCTTCAATATCATTACATCACTCTGGGGCTGCAGGAGACTTGGTGGGATTGCCTCAAGCCTATTAAATATAATCTCCTGAGGGCAACAATACTGACTATCTTGTTCATCACTGTTCCCCGAATTCATAAAACAATACCTGATATGTAGTATGTGTTCAACAAAAGTGTGATGTTTGATGGGCTCTTCCCTGGTCTCCCTACAGATCTATCTCTACTCTACTTCTTTTTCTTGGTGGAAGGGAGAGAATTTCTGTTAGTCTTTTTCACCCCCAGAGTTGTAGTCTGGAAGTAGTAACAAATCCTGGATTATTCAGAACATATCTGGAGGCCCTGTGGACTCCCCTCCTATCCTCAATGCCTAGAATTTTCTAGATTAAGTATTGGGGTTCTGAGGCTCTGAGGTTCTGACTCTTCCCTTGACCAGTGCTCTCTGTATTTGTTCTGAGTTGAGTTCTTGGAGGTTGGAAAATGTCATAGGAAGCACCAAGGATGGGTAGGAGTAGATCATTGATATTGGGACAGAGAGAGAGAAATAGAGTCAGGTTGTTCAGCCCAAATTATATCGAGACATTCTGCCTCCATCTGGCTGCCATGGGGAGAGACAACAGCACGAAGAAGAAAGAACACAAGAGCTATCATCTCTACACTCGTGTTCTAACCTGAGGCTCCCACTATCTGACAGTGTGACCATATGACCTTCACATTCATGAGGATCATTTTCCTCATCTGTGAAATCGTGGGGTGAACTTGATGATCCCTGTAGGTCCTTCCAATTCTGACCACCAGAGATTCTAAGAACTGCTGGATGTTCAACCAAACTCTTTCTCCTAATTTTCAAATTCAAAAGCCAGCAGTCACATCTAGGTGTCTTCAAGTGGAGTTCTTGGTAGGATACAATTAAGAGTATTGCAACCAGAACTCAGAGATGGGGTCCTGAAGCTCTTCTGTCTTTGCCTTTTGATACTTCCTTACTCATCCCCCAAGTTTTCACACCCTCTGTGAATTGTGAAAGAGTTCCAAGATGACTGAGTACATGCTTGAGTACTCTCTGGGCTCCTCCCAGATCTCCAGCCGATGTTCCATTTCTTTGCAGAAACTTCATTCAGAGTGCGACTGGTGGGAGGCCGCCACCGCTGTGAAGGGCGAGTGGAGGTGGAACAGAAAGGTGGCTGGGGTGCCGTGTGTGATGATGGCTGGGACCTGAAAGACGTGGCTGTGGTATGCCGAGAGCTGGGCTGTGGAGAAGCCAAGGGGACTCCCAGTGGTATTCTATACAAACCATCAACAGAAGAAGAGCAAAAAATCCTCATCCAAAACGTCAGTTGCACTGGGACAGAGGATACACTTTCTCAATGTGAGCATGAAGATGTTTTTAGTAGCTCATACAGTGAGGCTGCAGGGGCTTTGTGTGAAGGTGAGTATGCAGGGCTCAAGTGCTATCTGCCAATTGTTCATACCCCACATGACCACTGTTGTTTGTCTTTATTCTCCACCATGGACTTTCATACAAGGGCTAAATAGCCCCTCATCCTTCACATCTCTCACTTTCTCAATTGTGGGCCCTGGACACAAACATTATCCTCACCTAGAATCGTAATCCTTCTTGGGTGACCTAATGCTTTTTTCTTAGTTTCAAACTATATGAGAACCTGTTTTTCTTCTGTACACACATACAAACATGCACAGATTCATCAACCAGTAAATATTTGATAAATAGTGTAACCTGTATCTGGAGCTTGGGGTGGAGTTCTGGGAAAGAAATGAGCTTGCAAAGTATAAGGTATGCTCTTACAGTTCTCAAGGAGTCCAGCGTCTAGTTACGTAGAAAGAGATGCTCATAGGAAACCAACACAACACAACTATATATATA